ACCTTTAAGACCAGTGGACCTCACTGCCAGTTATGCTTCATACCGCAATTCAGTGGACTGCAAACATGACTGAATGGTTTCTCACACGGTGCACTGGAATAGGGCTGCGAAAATAGAGCCTTTTTTTTTCTGTTGATTGAACTGAGAATTAAATCATGAGGCCAAAACTCAAACCGAGTCATAAGATTCCCTGAGGTTCCCATCCATTCTTGCTTTAAATAGGCTTCAGCTGTCGGATTTTGTCCAACTTATACTAAAACTTACGCTAAGTAGCCTCCTGTGGTTACAGTCCTGATTCATGTATTCAGATAATCTGGTTATTGCAGTGCACATAAGCACATTGTTTAATTTCCTCCAATTTTTTTCAATTAACCTGGTTCTTTGTTGCGTGTAAACGCTCTCCTGTGTCTCTGCTTCACGTCTTGCTTTCTCTAGTCGTCTGCTTCTTTCCTCTCTTTCACAGCAGTCCGACTCTTCTCTTCCTCCCTCTCTCTGCCGATCTCTATCTCAGTCTCTCTGTTCTTTATGTGTCTTTTTCGCTGTCTCCTCTGTTCCCTGTACCCTGTTACAGCATCTCTGGCATTTATCTCTCTTACATTATTTTTGCTGCTCTCCTTTGTGTAGCATCTCCCTCCCACCTGTGTACTCGCCGTCTCGTTCCCTCTCCCCCTCTTCCTCTCACTCCATCCCTGATATTGATCTGCATTCTAGCCATACAGCTGAACCGCCTGTGGCTCTGCAATGAGCTCACATCTCACTTCTTCTGTATGTATGCGAGTGTGCACGCAGGGAAAAAAGCTGCTCCGAATCCCTGTATGTCTCAGTATCACTGCAATCTAAACACAAAGGCGGCTAATTTTTTTAAAAAAAGAAAAAAAAAGAAATGCTGTTCATGTGTGGCAACACTGTGTGCCCACACAAGCGTTTTCAGGTCATTTTTGTATTTGGGCCAGTAAACATCAAAACTGTGCATCACAGCTGTCGTGTATTAAGGAGAGGGGCAGACAAAGCCTTGTTACTCTGCTGAGTCTCAGCTGTTTAAACTCCCCCCCTCCTCACACCCATCACCACCACCACCGCCGCTGCCGCTCTCTGCGATCGCTTATACTGTGTTTTGTACTGTATTCCCCTCTGGCAGCATGCACAATAAAACCTCGGCGAATAGTCCAAAATGCAGCAGCACATCTGTGGTTCAACCAGCCAAAGACTTGACACTGTACTTTTCATTACTCTCCTCTGGCTTCCCGTTTAAGTCACGGATGCTCGCCTACAGAGTAGCCACTAGCACATCACCCACCCACCGGATTGTCCACATTCAGGTGTATGAGTCTTCTTCTTGATACAACCTGCAAATGAATTATCACTGTGAGTCTGGAAATCTTCGTCCAAATTATTCTCCTGTATGGTCCCTCAGTGGTGGAATGAGTTGCCAAACTCGATTTGTGTGCGGAGTCCCTTTCTGTTTACAGAAATCACTTAGACCTTCCTCTTCTCGGAGTCCTTCCTCACATAGGATGGGCCTGATCGAGCCTTTTCTCAAAAATAAAAAGACATTGGTATTTTTCAAGGCACTGATATGTTGCTTTATGCACCTTTAAATCTTCTGAACTGAGCGCTGAAGACTTGATTTTGTGGATTGTTCACTGACGTTGTACTGAACAAAAGCATCTGCCAAGTGAATGGATCTAAAACACCCAAATTCAAGATTCAGTTAAATGTTTAAGCACAGCATAAAATACGTTCCCATGCATTGACAACATCTATATTGTCTGATTGCTTATTTTAATACTTAATACAGGTTCCAAAACCACAAAAAGTTGTCTAATTTTGGCGTTCCCGTGCACTGGTGGATTTTGACGGACTTTGAATGCAGACAGTGGATGTGCTAACGGTTGCATTAAGCCCTGATTATTGTCTCTTGCAGCTGCGCACACATGACAGCTGCAGACACCACGACTCGTAGATGTCGTTATTATACGACTCTCTAGTCCGCTTGGAGCCTGCTGGGGAAATTGTGCAGTAGATCGGCATCTGCGTGTTTCTCACATGCACAGCACCGGAGAGCAGGCGCACCGCTGCTGTTGTATCAAATTTGTCTCACAAACACAAATTTTGTGCTGCGTGCAGACTTGAATAGACGGCAAAATGTGTCGCACAGACCCGAGTGGACCCGCGCATAGTTGCAGACGGTGAAAGTACAACACTGGCCTTAGTCTGCTGTGCGGATGCGTTGCTTTACCCTTGACATTGAACACATGAAAACAGGCAGGGCTCCTGTGAATGTTTCTGAAAGGCTGGCTGTGACCTTGTTCTTTTTACAGTATATAGCAGCTACCTACAGACTGGGCTGTAGCACCGTGTCACTGATTATTCCTGAGGTGTACCGAGCACTATAGAAAAGGCTGCTGCCACAGTTAGTTGCCTTCCTTTTCTATGCACACTGCATGAGCATTGCACATTATTTCTGGAGAATTTGTAGGTTTTCACTGTGTTTGGGCACCAACAATAGAAAGCATGTACAAATCAAGGCACCCCAAAGTTGTGTAGCGACTACACTGTCAACAATATATCTGGAAAAAAAATTGGAAGTCGAGCAGCAAGTAGAAGAAACACTATAACATTCAAAAATTGTAAAAATGGTAAAAATGACAGCAAATATCTGTAAAATAGTCCTTTTTTTGGTGATTTAAATACAGTAAAACAGCGTATTTTTATGATCACACTGTTAAAGAACTAATTACTGTTTGTAGAATACTAATTTTTGATGTGGACATTACTAGATAGTATCTTGAATTTTGAAATGGGCTGTTACCGGTTTTCAATTGCAAATATGACATAATTTTTCTTTTAGATAATCGCTAGTACAGTCATGACTCGATAATCCAACACTAAATGTAAAACCTTCTTTTATGTCGGATAGCAAGGCTGTCGGATTGTCAAGACGGAGGTCGAGATACAAGGAGGGCTTGATGCTTGAAGGGTAATTTGTTGTTAATATTCATTGTTCATAGTTGTTATAATAATTAGTAGGGCTGGTCCGAATAGCACTTTCTGGTCTCTTGATATTCAGGTCCAATTAATGCTGAATATCTGAATATTTGGCGTGGTCAGGGGCACACTTCCACCCCAGGGGTGCGCTCTGATGGGGTGGAAGTGGCCAGAACACACAGGCAGAGCTGCTGTGCCGGTTTAGGACAGCGGTCCCCAGTTCTGTTTCTACCATCGCCGCCGCCACCACCATCCATGTTTACTTGGGTAAACACTGAGCACGCTCACGGTGTGTGACGTGGTTTTGTCCACTTCTGTGCATGTGGGACACTTTTGGGTCGTATGAAGTTCACACAGCAGATCACATACAAGTTGCATTTAATTAAAAATGTGAACGAACTCGCAAGAAAAACGGATTGAGCATTAAGTCCTGTAGTCTGAATGTAGCCAATCTGTCGGATTGTTAAGTCAGATAATACGCCGTTATCCTTATTTGTGTCGGAGTCGGTATCCAAGGCTGTCGGTATGTTAAGGTTATTTTTCATGGGTTCCGTTTGTCTTTCCTAAAAACTTGTCGGATAGCAAGGTTTTCAGATTAAGTGTCAGATTATCAAGACACGACTGTATCTGTAAAGTAATGACATTTTTTGCTGATACGAATTCTAATTTGTTAAAAAAAAAAAAGAAACAGATCTTTGATGTGAAGATTATTTACAGTTTTGACCTTTTCTAGGGTTAGGTTAGGGTTATAATTAGGTTTTACTGTTTTTTGTAATTTAACAAAAGTGGGAATATCTGTAAAATAACAGTAAATTGATCATAACTGTTAAAAACTGTTGAAAAACAGTGTGTTTGACTTACAACTCTTTTCCTGATGAATAAAGGTGTGAATTAGTGAATCTCCTCACGCAGCCTCTCCTCACAGCAAACACATGTGCAGTTAGCACGCTTGCAGCGCATACAGTCAGCGCAGTCACAAATGCACGTGAGGGAAAAATTTTCACATGAGCAACTGCATGCTGACGTTTAGATGATGAAATTTACATCAGGCTGACCCACGCAGACGTGAAAAACATGTAAATGCTTCCTTGTTTGATCGAAAACAACCCTACGTTAAATCAAGTGTGGATTTTCAAGTCCCTTCAAAGCAACAAAATACGATTAAGGAAGGACAGTTCGACTATCAGATCTAGAGTGTGAGCGCTTTACCAGATGCCAGAACACTGCAGAGTTGTTTCTGATACTAAGAAACAGGAATTTACGACTGTAGAAAGTTATCACGACTGTAGTTATTTCAGCATTCATTGCAGTGATCATGAGGTAAACAGTGCAATATTACAGCTTTAATATTCCCGAGTAATCTACCAAATGTTGTGCTGCTTTCAACTCTTTTGCCAGAAAAAAAACTTTTTTTTCAAATGTTGTTGCGCCTGAAGCTTGTGAGCCGGTTTAGCACGTAATTTACATACTCAGCTTTGACTAGTTATTTTCTAATGTTTCCAATATACGAGCACATGACAAAGTAGTTCTGTAGTGTCCCACAGTTTCTTTTTCAAGTCCCAGGTGATCGTTAAAGTTCTATCATATTCCACAGGCCACGATTATTGGCTTTTCCCCTACATTGTTTGAAGTGCAGGAGTTTTACATAATTAAGTGGAAAATGAAAGCAACTGTTTCCAGTTTCCAGAGGGAGTCAAAACAAGTGTTGGTGATTGGTTGCATCCAGGTTTGCATGCAGTTGAGCATTTCTCTGCGTCATAAGGAAGTTGTTTTGAGGTTCTTTTTTTATAAGTGAATGTGGGTTAAACACACAGCCGGCATTTTTTAGAATCATCAACGTGGGGCTGTTTTTTCAGAGTGTACAATACCAGCTTAGTATATAGATGGATGGCCAGAATGGATACAGGAGGGGGGAAAAAAACGCATTTCAAGGTTTACAGGATTAGCGTGAGCATACTGTCTACACCTATACAAATGCTGTGTACTAATTCCCAACTCTGGCTGCTTTCTAGCTGGCTCTGCAGTCACGGCTCTGTGACAGGACTCGGATCGGAGAGTACTACCCCGGGGCAGTGCGCTACACACAGGCTGACCTGGTCGACCTCAGCGATGACGACGACGATGACACCAACGTGCTCTTCTACTCTCCTGACATGACCCTTAAAGACCGAGGGCCCTGAGAGAGGGAGCAGGAGAACGGGAGGAGAGAGAGAAGGAGGGAGACAAAAGAGATGGAGGGAAGCAGCACGAAGGAGGGTCACAGCCAGAGAGAAACGCAGCGGATTAGAAACTGAGAGGCAGGAAAAAAGAGGTAGGGAGGGAATGGAAAAGGAAGATTGGGGGGACAGTCAGGCAGATAGAAGCCGGAGATGAGCTGTCAGGTTCCATTATTAATCCCCATCCTTTACTATTTAATATCCTAAAGACACACACACCACACATACTGAGCAGAGCTCCCCTGCAATACTGCCATGAGAGAGAAGCAGGGATGGAGCGCTCTAAAGATCCTCCTAATGTTAAAGGCATCTGCTGCATCCCAAAGGTCTTGAAACAATTTCGATCTCTGCGCCATCTTCTTGACTCTTGTGTTCTGCAGCGTTTTGGCATGCCAGAAAAATAAAGAATATGTTTTTTTAAAAAAAACGCACATAAAGGACTGCTGAAAGGCAATCATAACAAGGTGTTCCTTTAGCATTCGCAGCAATTACCTTTTCACATCTCTGCGGGAGATGAGTTAAAAAGCAGACCTTTTAAAAAGAGCCCTGTGTGTCGGATGTGAAAGCATCTAGATGTACCCCGAGACCGATCCCAGTTCTGAACTGTTTCCTTGCCAATGGGGGAAGGTGGGAGAACAGTAGAAATACAGAAAAGGGGATTTTAAAAACAGTCAACATGTCTCAGTGGGGGCAAATAAGTCCCAAACCACCAGTGTTTCCTTCCTTCGACAGTATTTGTTTCTCCGACTGTCTCTTTGCAGATGACGTCACATTACACAAGTTTTCCTTTGAACGTTTGCTTTGTGTTTTTTACTGAAATACTACACTTGTTTGTTAAACTGTATTTATAACAGATCGATGTACTGTATATATTTAAGTGTACAGTCTATTTTTGTACGTGCCTCGGGGCTAAAACATGAAGAAAATTAGTCCAAACCTGCTGCTCTCAGCCTGATTCAGAACACACAGCCTTATGAACAGCTTCAATTCAAAAACAAATACCCACACACACTCAGACACACACACACACACACGTGCATGTTTCTGAGGTGTTTGTTAAAACAGGTTGGGATAAAGATGACACACACACACACACATTAGACACCCACAGCGTAGGAACAGCCTTTGATGGCTCATCATCTCATGGCCTTTGTCGGTCGTGGAGAAGGGACGTAGCTGAGACGTGATTGGCAGGATAATGGAGTCACTTTATATTCAACCACAGCCCATTTGGTGTTTCCAATATCTAGGTGGCTTCATCATTGTGTCGGTGCGCTCCGCCGACTGTCAGCTGCCTCTCCGAGAAACTGAACTAATGAACCGACACTTGACCCTTCTTACCCTTGGGGTTTTTTGAACTTTTCTGCCGGGCGTCAGTGACACCGGAGTGCAACTTTTGGTTTGCAGTTCACAGAGTCCCACCAACCAGCACTGTATCTCACACACACACACACACACACACAATTGCACTATGCCCCTCTTTTGGCACTGTTGCTGGTTTTACTTGACTGTGCACTCCATCAAATAAATGAGCAGGAGAGACATTTCATAACAAAGCTGAGACTGGGCGTGTTTATTTCATTTTCACATTGATGCCATCCTTCATTCTCTCTTGCCACAGCGGCTCTGGCTCCTGTGAAGTGTTTGAATGTGTGCGTGTATGAAATGCGCGTCTTTTAGACCCCGGTCGGCTTAAATAATGGATATTAATTATTGGTCGGACCCTGCTGGCCACTGCGCGTCTCCAAATATGGTTAACTGGATTTTGATTAATGGAATATGCGCGCCATGTCCTCCAGAAAATCCAGACTTCTTTTTTTTTCCTTCCTTCCCTCCTCCTCCGCTCATACATACACGAGCTCTCCCACAGACGCTTTCGAGCCCCCCTTCATATAAAGATCCCGTGAAATAAGCGAATCTCCCTGTCACGCAAGAAGAATTATTATTCCCCCCTCATATCGTCGCATGCGCCGTAATTGGATACAATTTAACACCCGCGGCCCACGGGCATGTCGGCAGGCGCACTGCCTACTATTAGCTCGCCTCGCCTCGCCACCCTATCATTTGTCAGATCTGTGTTTGTGTGCTTCTGGTGCCTGTGTGTGTGTGTGTGTCTGTCTGTGCGCGCGTGTGTGTGTGTTTGTGTGCTCCTGGTGCCTCTGTGTGTGTGTGTGTCTGTCTCTCTGTGTGTGCGCTCGCGTGTGTGTGTGTGTGTCTGTGCGTGTGCGTGCAGCTCGAGAAACCGGAGCCATTGTTGGAGTCCGGCCATGACCTAGCTGTGACGCACAGAAACACAGAGAGAGAGGAGAGGAAAGGAAAAGAGGCGACAGCGCAGCAGCAGCAGCTCCAGACGCTGAAAAACAAGCTGCAGCTCCGTCACCTCGGAGCGGATAGAGGCAGGCAGGCCTGGTGGGTGTTTGTGGCTCCTCCGCGCCGCTTCCTGCGGGAGCCTCGTCTGCTGTTTATTAGAGCCCCGGCAGTATTTACAGGCAGGGACGTTGGCGGGGGGAGGGAGGGTACAAGCCCTCCTAAACCCAGCTCGCCCGCTGCTTACAGTCAAAAGAAGGCTGGAGAAGGTTAATGGGGAGATTACAGCCCGCATGACTGATGTCTTAAAAGTATAAATAATTGAGCCGAGGTTGCTGCGTAGCTCTTTACATCCAATGTTTTAATTAACTAGTTTTGCTCAAGGCTGCTGGTATTGAACAAAATATGACTATAAGCATTTAAAAGATACCAATTTCTCCTGATAAAAAGCGTCGGGGACTCGGGGATTTTAGGCTACACAAATGGGAGTAATCAATGTTGGGTATTTTTTTTTAGGGATGGGGGATATTTTTGGCTGTGGATTAATATACATTTTGTGAGCTGTTAAGCAGGATAATGTATGTGGGATTAAGTGAAAATAAAGCCTGTGTTGGTCATGAAGAAACGTGTCAGTGCCGCACTGATGAGATCTTAACAGTGTGGATAACAGTGAGCCTCTGGACCATACTACACTGTTAAAAATGAACCTTTTTTAAACAGTTTAAACTGTAATTGTTGTCGAACAATTTCTGGTTATTTTACAAATTCTCCCTGTTTTGCTAAATTACAGATAAAAGCTATTTGTAGTGTCGCAGTTAAAAAGTTTAACCACAAAATTACCATTTTTTACTTTAGTTAAATCAGCAAAACAGGTTCTTTTACAAAACAGCAACAGAAATTTGTAAAATTGTGTATTTTTAAGGATTGAAAAATGATGTTTAAAAAGTTTTTAGTTTTATTTTACAGATTTTCCCTGTTTTGCTAAATTACAGATAAAAGCTATTTATAATGTCGCAGTTAATAAAGTTTAACCACAAAATTACCATTTTTTACTTGAGTTAAATCAGCAAAACAGGTTCTTTCACAAAACAGCAACAGGCATTTGTAAAATTGTGTATTTTAAGGATTGAAAAATATTGTTTAAAAAGTTTTTAGGTTTTATTTTACAGATTTTCCCTGTTTTGCTAAATTACCGATAACTAATCACAATGTGACAGTTAAAATTTTTGATCTTTTAAACTTTATTTAAATCTGCAAAAGTATCATTACGTTTACAGATATTTAAATGTACATGAAAGTAATTTCTGTATTCTAAAAATTGTATTTTATTTTATTTTTTACAAATGGTAAATCTGAGAGAATCTCAGAGTTTCTATAGTAAAATTAAAATATTTTTACTGTAAAAAAAAATCAGCCATCATTTGAAAGAAAAATTCTGTACATTAAGGTTTGAAAAATTATAAATCATTTTTACTTGTTATTTTACTTATTTTCACTATTTGTTGAATCATGGATAATAACTAGTAAAATCACAGAAAAAAGTGATAATTTACCTGTTAACCATTAAAAAAATGGAATCACAATAAATTGCTTCAGATATTTGCTGTTGAAAGAAAAATTGTATATTTCAATGATTGAAGATCTACACGTTTTGGTAAATTTCAGATAACTGATATAATCACAAAAAACAAGTATTCATGTGTTAATCCTAAATGCAGGGGTTTTTTTGGGGGGGGGTTGTTTTTTTTTAAAACAGATTTTCAGTTTTTGGTCAGACTACAGATAATATCTGGTAAACACAAAGGGAAAAGGTATTTATATACACATTAACCTTAAAAACAAAACAACAAAAAAAATATTCACATCAAAAATCGTTTTTTACAAATTACTTCTTTTTTTTAAAACAATGTTAAATCTTAAAATACACTGTTTTGCATTATGTAAATCTATTAAGAAATCCGTTTTCACAGATATTTGCCAATATTTTTACTTTTTTTTTCTTTTTTTCCCCTTTTTTTTTGAGGAGTTTCTGGCTCCATGTTCACTAAATATATATGTACAGAAACGTTAATCCTTATATTTCATGGATGTAGCCATTACTGCATAGTCAGCATGGTAGCCAGGATGTTACAAACAATGAAATATTACATTTCCAACACATTCCCTGAAATTATAGCCACCCACCAGACTCTGTATAATTTTCTAAATATTTTACCCCAAAAACGCAAAGGTTCTGCCTTCTGTTTTCTTAGATTAATGTAAATCTTGTGTACCACGCACACATATTCCACAGCCTTTGTCATGGTGTACATTAGAGATGCAGCTGCTGTTTTTCTGTAGTTTTTATATAAAATGTCAGCAAACGGTCATAAAGATGAGTCACTTTTACCACACACGACATATTCCAATGCAAATCCATCCCCTCCCCCCACCAAAAAAACATTTATTTTACTACCACATTGGAGAAGCTGGAACCAGCAAATCATTTGCTGCCAATGGATTAATCGATTAGGCTTAATTGCCCCAGCCCTAGTGCAAATATCGCCTGATGAATAGGCTGCAAGATCCCTTTAATTTCCTCCTTTTAGCCTGTAATGTTTTAAAATATTTATCAAAAAAATATAGATCAGGATCATCTGTTTTAAAACAAGAAAAATGACACGTGTACAACTGTGGACTAATCCCCCAAATTTGGAGCAAACATCGCCGCGGATCTGGGTGTCTGATCCCGCCTGTATTTATAGCTGTTACTTGAGAATCGAGGCGTTTAATGCGCCTGTTTCCCGGCGCCCCGTCTGCTCTGCGCTCGGCTCTGCTGCTGCTGCTGTTGCTGCCTGAGTAGAGCGCAGGAGCGAGCGGAGCTTCGTGCGCTGCGCTTCGGCCCCGAAAGAGTTAAATTAATCTCTTTCTCTCCCGTCTCTCTCCCGTCTCTCTCTCTCTCTCTCTCTCGCTCGCTCGCTCTCTCTCTCTCAACACACACACAGGCTGCCACCGCCCCAGATAACAGAGGGGCGCCTCTCCCCAGCCAGCCAGCCTCCGCTAATCGCAGTGGCAGGAGGGGGGAGTGGAGTGCCGGCGGCCTCTCACAGCGCTGGGCTTTTTATTGACGCTGCCTGCCTGTGTGTCATCCGTGTGTGTGTGCGTCTGTGTGCGCAAAGGCCGTGCGCGCTTGTGGGTGCGTGTCAGAGCTATAAAGAGGTGTGTGTGCGTCTGCCTCGCTGTGTGTGTGTGTGTCTGTGTGTGTGTATGTGTGTGTGCGCTCCCCGCCAGCAGCGGAAAGCAGGGAGAGGCGGGGAACTGGGAGGGTGGGTGGCGAGGTTATGAGCGGAACTCGACAGAGGCCGACAGACGAGAGAAGAAGGAGGGGAGGACGAGGGGAAGGGAGGGGAGGGGGAAATCTTTCTTGTGCTGCGCTGAGAGCCGCCACCGCTTCTCCTTCCCCTCAGATAAGGTTCGTTTGAAGGTTTTCATCTTTATTCTCACAAAAAAAAAAAAAAAAAAAATGACGCGTGTGTTTCTGCCCGCGCGTTTCGGAGAAGGGGATTGCCGTTTTATGATGCGCAAGGTCGGAATAAGACAAGTGTGACTGATCGCCTCGCTTATTTTATGCCACAAGCCCCACTGATTGATTGCATCGATGAATTTAGCAGCCTATTGATTAGGGTTTAATCTATAGGTTTACGTCTCTCAGTGTTCCAATTATTGGAGACTCTCTCTCTCTCGCTCGCTCGCTCTCTCCCTCCCTCCCTCTCTCTCGCCTTTTCTCTCTCCCTCCATCTCTCGCTCTCTCTCTCTTGCGAGCAGCAGTGTTTGGCTCGGAGCCACGCTCGCCCTGCCGCGCCAGGCTGTAATTATCCCCGGTGAGGCCGCGCTAACACAGCGTGGCGCGCCTGTGGGGAACCGGTTAGCCCTACAACACTGGTGGGGGCGCATGAATGTGCGTGCCAGCGTGTGCGTGCGTGCGTGCGTGTGATTTTGTGTGACACAGAGGGAGAGAGAGTTGTTGCTGTGTTGATATTTCGGTAGCCTGCATCAGAGCGATTTCAAGTCCTTGCATGAACCGCGGAACCTGGATTAAAGATTAGACAATTGATTTAGCGCAACTGATGCCCTCACTAACAAAAAAACCCCGCAAAAGTCACCAGGCTGTCATGAGTCCACACATTTTTTTGGACTCTGTTTTCAATCACACCAGATCAAATCCAAGGAGGTCATGAGCAGGATTATCAGAATACGTAAAAAGAGAGGA